CATGTAATAATTTGTCTCTCCTCTTCTTTCTCTCTCTCTCTCTCTCTCTCTCTCTCTCTCTCTCTCTCTCTCTCTCTCTCTCTACTGATCCATATTCAGTGTGCTAGAGAAACATGTGGATCTGGATGAGTGTGATGTGAACAATGGCACATTACTGGAGATTTGGTACATGCCACCAGAGGCTTTAGGTTGGTGGCGCCTCTTTTGGTTTCCAATTTCTATCCAATTTTGTGTCATTTTTAGCTCGCCGTCATCTGTATGTGCTTATGTTTCCTTTTAGTCTTGCCAAATGATGAAGAAATGGGTGTATATATATATATATATATTACTAGGTTTAAGATCTCCTCAAAGCTTTTTCTGCATCAGATGAATAAAAAGGTAAATAAGCTTTAATGATTAAATAAATGTTGTTGTTATCATTTCAGATGCAGATGCAGACACGTGACCCTCTTATACTAGTCACGTCTTATTCTACAGTAAAAGTAAATCCACAATATTGGATTCATATTTGGAGAAACAGCATTGGGAAACATGCGCATGCAAACCACTAAGCCACGGCTCTGACAAACTCTGATGTAAATACTGTTATTGTAACATGTCTATAATGATTGTTTAGTACGGACATGTGAGCACAACACACGGTGGCTCACAGTCGCCCAGGTGAAGCGCACCACACTGCCGCTGTCGTGTCACGAGCCCAGCTGAAGAAATAAAAGCCTCAGCAATTATACCAGTGCCTGAAACTCTTCTGCTCCAACTGTAAAACAATGTGAGTCTGGCACTTTACACAACCCGCTCCTGACTCTCATTAATGAAAATAAATTTTGTAATATTGCTTATTGTATACTTTATTTAATTGTTTAATACTCATTAGTTGGAGACAAATATTTAAATACAATTAAATGTGTGATCTGTACTGGTTCGAGGGTGGATTTTTAATTCAAAATGGGTCTCAGTTTGATCTTAGATAAGAAATTCCTGGATCAACATTTATATTTTGTGTGTTTCACTCTTGAGGAGCAGACATTTGTAGATTTATTATACTAGATTTGCTATATGTTCTGTTTGCCACCTGGTGGCTATTAAGTGGAATGCAACTTAAAGGTTTAAGTAAGATGCATCTGATTTAACTTGGTATATCACAATCCTAATAAATAATCCAAAACATTTTTAATTTTGTTACATTTACACTACGGATCAAAAGTAATTTATTTATTTTTGTTAATTCAACAAGGATGCATGAAATGTATCAAAAATGACAATTAAGATATTTATAATGTTACAAAAGATTTCTGCTTTAAATAAACAGTGTTCTTTTAAACTTTCTATTCAAAGAATATATAGGGAAAAAAATAGCATTGTTTCCACAAAAATGTTAAACAGCACAACTGTTTTCATCATTAATAAAAAAAAAAAATTGAGCAGCAAAGCAGCATATTAGAATGATTTCTGAAGGACCATGTGACACTGAAGATTTGAGTAATGATGCTGAAAAATCAGCTTTGCATCACAGGAATAAATTAGATTTTAAAATAAAATAGAAAATGATTATTTTAAATTGTAAAAATATTTCACAATATTACTGTTTTTACTGTATTTTTAATCAAATAAATTCAGCTTTGCCATCACAGAAAAAAAAAACATTTTTAAATATATCCAACTAGAAAACAGCTATTTTAAATTGAAATAATCTTTGACAGTACTGTCTTCCCTTGTTTTTTAATTAAATAATTTCAGTCTTTGTGAGTTTAAAGACGTCATTATTCCAAGCTTTTGGTGGCCAGTGCAAGTAATTACAGTACAATTAAAAACCTGTTAATTAGTTAACTGTAAATCTCTTGATGATCATTAGAGACTTCTTTCCAAATATTAAAAATCTTACCAACCCCAACCTTTTGAACAGTAGTCTACTTTTTTTTTGTATGTGACAGAAAAGATGTTCCTGATGACAGCGCTGTTGCTAAAGTCTTCCGGGAGTCTGTGAAAGACAACCAACCTTGCGATGAGCTGTGGGCCGCCACTTCATCAGCAAGTTCTAGAGAGCCTGGCAGAACCATCTCAATGCACATATCCAGAGACATGGTGGGGGAAAGCACTTACATGCAGCTGATATTCGTCGAAGGTATCTCTGACTAAAAAGAGAAGCATTTTTATATAAAGATTTGTATTTCCATTTACAAAAAAAGCATTGTATCTACAGGAACGACGCTGGATGAGATTTGCGTGTTATCACGGGATTACAAAAACCTGGTTCCCGTGAGATCTTTGAACGGCAGGATGACTCTTCTGGATCTTACAGCTCCCTTCCTGTTCTCTGGAGACAAAAGATATTCATTTCATTTTAATTTCAATTAAAATATAGGCCCATGCAGTTTTTATTTCAGTTATTTTTGCACATCAAATTAAGCTAAGCTAAACTAAATTGAGAAATGTTGCCTAATTTCAGTTAACATTTATTTTATTTGAAGTAACAAAAAAAATTTTTTTAATGGTTTTAATTTTAGCCTTAGTTTGAGTTAACTCTAATAACCCTGTACTGAGTAGAAGTATATTTTATTATAATTGAATGTATATAGAATAAGAAAAATTTTATAGGTGCCCCTTTAAATATCTAAAGTTTCTGTGTGCTAACATTCTTAATCACTTATTCATACAGAAAAAAATACATTAATTACTAAATATTATAACATTTTAACATTCATTTCATTTTATTTAATAATTGTGTTTTTTATAAAATGTAATTTTAGTCACAAACAAGGACTTCAAAATCTGAAGCTAAGGTCAAAATAACAATTTATACAAATTATAAGTAATTAAATTGAGGTCTTTGTTGTTGTTTATTAAGTTATTTATTATTTGTTTGTTTTGTTAATTTTAATGAGCCTAGTTCAGTTCAAATGTATGTTTTCAGGTGTGTTTTCAAAAAAGCCGACCCAGGCATCACTGCAACATTTTTTTTATTTTTTTTTTTAAATATCTCATGTGATGTCCTAGTTGGCCAAAAAAATAACCTGTAGACACTTCAGCCACTCTTAAAAATGTATGGCTGTACCTTTAAGGAGTTCATCTGTGTCTCTGTCACACAGCCCTGGGAGTTCAGCAGATGCAGTTCAGATTGTTAATCCAGTTTGATCTGGAGGACCAGACTGACACATTAGAGGCTCTGCTGTGGGAGAACGCTGTGAGTGTACATGTTATAGCAATGCTATTTGCTAAGTAGTCTTTCAAAAGAGTAGAAATTCTGCAAACGTACATCAGCAGAGGGCACTGGTTTTGTTTTTTGTTTTTTTTTTAGAAATGGATAAGAGTGATTGTCTTATTCTTTATAGGAGAGGTTCTTCCATGTTTCTGCTGTAGATGCTTCAGGCAGTCCGGATTTGCAGGACAAGATTCAGACCATCATGGACACAATTCAACCACCATACAGCAGTTTGGGTAAAGATTTCATTTCCTATGAATCGTTTGTCTGAATTCCTACATTTAGAATAAGATAATGTTTTGTTTTTTTCTGTACTGTCTTTGTAGAAGAGTGTCCATGGCTGGATCTTTGCCTATCAGTCTACCCTGTAAAGGACAGCGACAGAAATAAAGTTTGCTATCAGATCACTAACACAGAAATTAGAGAAGAATAGAGCAAAGAGATCATAGATGGCCACCTGCGATGAACAAGAAAAAAGGAGTTGCCGGTAATGTTTTTTGTTGAGAAATGTAAATACATTATGGTCAAACACAATCCATAAATTCATATTGTAAAATAAAACGGCTTTATATTTATAATGCATCTTTTCTGCTGGATTCCCACTTATTTCCAGTTAAAATAATGACTAGTTCTATAGAGTATGTAGTATAAAGTATAAAACTCTTTTCTGTTTACTTGTTCTGCTTAGACCTGTATGAGTCATATTTAACAACCCATCTGAAGTGAAGTAACTGGTGAGCATCGAAAGCCGGTGGTTGTTGATAGAAACGCATTGCAGTTCTGTTTCAGTCCACTAGGTGTTGTATCTGTGAAAGCGGCGCCTCCCCGACCGAGCTTCATATCACAGAGCTGCATCAGGAGCCCATGGACGGCACTCAAGGATTCTAACTTTATGGAGAAGCTGGAAGCTCTTGGCCCTGACATGTACATTTTTCCTGTTAGACGAAATGCTAGTAAATATTTATGAGGTTCCAGGGCTTCAACTAGTTTTTAATTATTTGGTTAGTCACCTGTTTGACCAAGTATTTCTAATTTTTCCCCCCCCCCATCACAATTCTGCTGTTATAATATTACTCCTGGGATTAAAAAATGGAAACTGGAGATGTTCATCTAAACGAGAGACCAGCGAACGGGACTACGCTTGATGTTTGTTCCACGGCTTTGCCTTAACAACACTGGAATTATCAAAATTTGGATATTTTCGCAATGGAAATGCAATTTTTAACTGTATTTTGTTTGCTGGTTTGTTGTGAACTCTCAGTAGTTCTGGCGCGTAGGAATATCACGGCAGATTTAACGTCAAAAATCGCTTCATCCTATAAAGTGCGTGAAATCAATACAGACGGGCATGAACGACGTGTAACTTTAAATAAAATCAGTTATGAAACGGGTAAGAAACCTACAGATGTGCTTTCATCGACCAGGACTACGATAAACGTAACGTCGGTGAATGGGAGCGGTAACACAACGGTAAGAGCGTCTTCCAGGCAAAAGTACGAAATAACTTATCAAATGGACAAATATAGGAAAACCAAATCATTTCTGAGGGAAATGCACGGCGAAATTCGCGTAAAACGTCGTTGTCGTCGACAGGAAAGAGTGACTGCGCGAAATGAGCCTGACGGAAATCAAACCATCAGATTGCTTGAGAATGAATTTGAGCGTGTCGAGTCGATGCCGAAGCCTGTAGCGCAGATCCAGCCTACAGACCTTCCCACTGACTTCACGTCTATCCCTGAATGGGGCACCTCACCAGTGGAGGACTATGAGGAAGTTTTCACCCCGTTCATTCCTTTTAATACACGGTCAAAGACTCCAGGGGTGAAGAACCCGTTTTACCCCGTGACAGGTGAATCGTACGGTGCATATGCTGTCATGTGCATCTCCATTCTTATTTTCACTGTGGGAATTGTTGGGAATATAGCAATCATGTGCATAGTGTGCCACAATTACTACATGAGAAGCATTTCAAACTCCTTGCTGGCCAACCTCGCCCTGTGGGATTTTGTCATCCTGTTTTTCTGCTTGCCACTTGTTATATTCCACGAACTCACTAAGGATTGGCTCCTTGGGGAATTCTCCTGTAAAATCATTCCATACATTGAGGTAAAACTGGTCACTTTTGATGGATGATTGAAATGCAGTTTGTGTTACTGATGTGTGATATTCTTGGTAATAGACCAATTTGAAAATGTTTATAAGGGTAACGTAAGGCAAGATGAATTGATACTAAAATTATATAATAATATAGGAAATCAGTTTGGATTAACAAGTTAATAAGGATCATACTTGTTCACATACTGTACATCACATATTAGAAAGTTTCATGCCATTCTATCTCTTATGGTTTAATGCAGCCTATCCAGCTCTATGGTGTAAAATGAAGCATTGGACTTTGACTTTATTCTAGCAGGTTCTCAAAGATAATCCCACTTTCACACATGAAGCTGGTTAAACTCTTGTAAAGTTGCTGGTTTACCCTTTCTGGTGAATGCACCACATCTGCTATTCACACCTCATTTGTCATTTGATCTGTCAGCTTGCATTGCGTATCAGCATAAAAAAATGTTACAACTTGATGCCGTTTAAATCTGAAATGACAGAACATTTATGCCAGAGACACTTTTAGTATTTGTCTGCTAGTAACAAAGCACAGTACTCAAGACAGAGAGACGTTAAAAATTTCCTTCAAATGGCTGTTCTGCTAAACCATATGGGTTATTAGTCAAGTAAGTTGCTATATAATTATTGACTTAAACTTGGTTAGCAAGATTTTTTGTCAAACTATTTCACCGCCAGGGCAGTTGTTGACCTGAAAGAGAAACTGACTGAAAAAGATGTTTACACCAATCAAGCTAAAGCACCTTTTGTGGCAATGTTGAGATTGCAACACATACTTGCATTGCATTATTTCAGTCAACTGAAATATTTTTTTTACTGGCATAAAAAGCTAAAACATTCAGTGTGTGTCCAATTTCACAAATGTAAGATAATCACTATTTTTGACTTGCAAGTTTTAGTTTTGCGTCAACTACTTAACTTTGTGATATTATGTCAAAGCGCCCCTAACTGCATATTGTACAAGTTCAAACTGCTAAACATGTGGCTTTGTTATTCGTGTAGGTCAGGACAGACATCTTTGCTGTGTTTTGTCTTCCTCAGTAAGGGGGAGTGTCTCATCTGCAGACACAAAGAGATAGTGGTATTGCCCCTGGGGCAGCATTCAGAGTGTATCATGTGTTTCTGAGGAATTGACCTGATTGGTGCCATAGTTGTGGCTTTAATTTCTTGACACACTACAGAGCGCCAGGGCCTACACCCTAGATTCAGAACAACCCGCTAACTTGATCAAAATGCTTAAACTTTACAATGAAGTCGATGGCCTTAAATGGAAAGGCTGTGGTTATGTTCGTCTAGTGGGATTGAATTTCCTTGTCGTTCCACTGGCTCAGGGGTTCAGTACAAGTTACGCTCAATCGACACCCCTTGTGTCTTAATATTGATTACTAATTAATTCAGACTTTTTCCAAAAAAAAATTTTTCAAATGCAGAAATGTTAATAATTTTATAAAATCACTTACATGAATTTTTCAGCTGAAACCTTTATTTAAAACTTCTATGTATTATTTGAGCTATATGATTGTTCTTGACATTTTAGGTGTTAAGTTGTCATTTACGTTTACACATTTGGCAGGCACTTTTATCCAAAGCAGCTTACATTGCATTCAAGGTACACATTTTATGAGTTCTTGCTTTCCCTGGGAATCAAACCCATTACCTTGGTGTTGCTAGTGCCATACTCTAGTGAACTTTTTTTTTTTGCATTAAAATCATGTTAATGCACATTATTTATGACTCGTGGCTATACTATTGTGTTTAAAAGTTTACAAATTGGCCCAATTCACTCCCATTGTAAGTGCCTCCCTGTGTAGCACAAATAGTATGTGCATACTATACGCATACCGTCCGATTTTGGTTGCACATGCGCATCGACTTGGTTTTTTGCACTAATCAGTTGTTCCAAAAGTGGCAACAGTGGCCCGGGCTGCTGTTTTACAATAGAAAATTAAACTAAAGAGACGAAAAAACAGCAACAATAAAATAGCGGAGACTGCAACAACAACAGTTGCCTGCATTGACAATCGCTTGCGTAAGGGGGTTGTGAGATAGCAGCAACTTTAGTTTAAAAGATTTAAAAAAAAAAATTTGGTCATAACTTCTGGAGAAAAATAGAGCAGACGCTGGAAAAAGATTAAGCTCTCTAGAGCACATGTGTCGACTGCCTGCAGTCACTTACACCAATAGAGTATACTTTGAAAGGCTGCGCATTCAGCTGTACAAAAATGAAGTATATGGGTTTAACCCAGATTTTTGCTTTTTTTATGCCACAAGTGTTGTCAATCAAGTTTAAAGGGATAGTTCACTCAAAAATGAACATTTTGTCATCGTTTATTCATGTTTAAGTTTTTTTAAACCTGTATGAATAATAATGCTGGTAACCAAACAGTAGCCATTGATTTCCATAGTCTTTTTTTTTCTTCCATTTAATGGAAGTCAATGGCTACAGTCAATTGTTTGGTTACCAACAACAGAAGAATGAAACTCATTCAGGTTTGGAACGACTTGAGGGTGAGAGGATGATGACAGAACTTTCATTTTTGGGTGAACTATCCAATAGAACCTGGAATGAAGATTAATAGCACCTTGATCCACTTTTTGTCCAGGTTTTTCAGTGGAAGGATTTTCTAAAAGTTTATTTATAATGACCACACATCTCCTTTACCTTGCAGGTGGCGTCATTAGGAGTAACTACCTTCACTCTTTGTGCTTTGTGCATTGACCGTTTCCGTGCCGCGAGCAACGTCCAGCTGTACTACGAGATGATCGAGAACTGCATGTCTACTGCAGCCAAGCTAACCGTGATCTGGCTGGGTGCTCTGCTCCTCGCCCTCCCCGAGCTCCTCATCCGGCAGCTGGTGAGAGAGGAGCTCGAGCCTCCAGAGGTGATACCGTGCGAACATTGCGTAATCCGAATCTCCACGGCTCTCCCGGACACGCTTTACGTGCTCGGACTCACCTACAACAGTGCTCGCCTGTGGTGGTACTTCGGCTGCTACTTCTGCCTGCCCACCCTCTTCACCATCATCAGCTCGGTGGTGACTGCACGCAAAATCCGCAAGGCTGAGCGAACCAGCGTCCGAGGCAACCGCAAGCAGATCCAACTGGAAAGCCAAATGAACTGCATCGTTGTTGCTTTGGCTATCCTGTACGGCTTTTGCATCATTCCGGAGAACATCAGCAACATCGTATCGGTGTACATGGCTACAGGCGTGCCACGGCGCACGCTGGATATCTTGCATCTGGTGAGTCAGATGATGCTGTTCTTCAAGTCCGCGGTTACGCCTGTCCTGCTTCTGGTGCTCTGTCGGCCCTTCAGCAAAGCCTTCCTGGACTGCTGCTGCTGCTGTTTTGAGGAGTGCGGCCCACCAAAGTCCTCCGAGCCCAACAGTGATGACAACGAACAGGACGGCACCACCGAACTGGAGCTTTCACCTTATAGCACTGTAGTCCGCAGGGATCCATCTACCTTCCCAATAGCAGGAACACACTGCTAAGGTTGTACCTTACCTAAGGGCTAAACATTACCTAGGGCTTAGATTTACGGAATGAAATAGTTGAGAGATGTTGTTTTCACAGGCTGTGCAATTTTGTGCCGTTTCTGTTTTTACTTGACTTTGTTTTGGGAGAGATGCCCAAAAACTGGATATTTTATCTTGTGAAAAAAGGGACAAAGAGCACAGGCCATATGGTTGATGTTTACAAAAGGATACGTGTACCATGAGTAGTTTCTTGGAAGTTTATAGGAAGTCTAGAAGGATTATAAATTAACTTGCATGCATTTGTTACATTTGCACTGTTTTCTTAACCCTATACCGTTTTTTCCATTTTAATTTGGTGTATTTGTGTTTTTGTTCAAAGTATCTTTGAACAAAAAAAAGAGGCTTATGGATGGTAATAGAAAATGGTCGTTCGTAGTATATTTTGGTGTTGTGGAAATTGGCGATTCTTGTGAATCGGTTTAACGTTAAGCCTAGCTCCTTTGCTATCTAAGTATTAAATTCTCTCTGTATTTTCTAGCAGAAGAACTTGTGACGCTCTTCAGCCACTGGAAAGCACTGAAGAAGCTGTTTAGCCAAGACATGTCACTTTAATAAAAAACAACACCACATTGGAAGCTCTTAAGAGGTTTTTTTTTTTTACAGATGTTTGAGATAAACTTGATTTTTATGAAGTGAACCTGCCCTGGAGATAGTGTTTAGAATTTTGAGATTTTTTCTTTTTATTCAGTTTGTGACGGTAAATTACTACTTGGAGAAACTAACAAATCAATTTTCCTCCAGTGGTAAGTTCACAGGCCTGTGGGTCATCAATGCAATACAGTAATTTCCTAGCACACAGAGGCTATTGTTTAATACTGTGGCCAGTTCAACATTAGGCATTCATACACAAACGGATTCCATGACCTCATGGACAGAAGTGTGGACTGGATTGGGAATGTGGGGAAAGATGTAGGAAGCCTGTTTGGCTTAACAGGACAGTTGGAGTTTCGTTATTGTGGTCTGGTTGCTTATTGGCCATTTAATGTCAAAGGAAAGTTGTATTTTTGCTCTGCTTGAAGAACAATCCCATCTCTTTTACTATACATTTAAGCTTACCTCCAAAACCTAGTGAGCCACTTTGCTGTATGCTTCCAACACAGACAGCTTCCTTCCAAGGCAGCATCATAACAGAAATGGAATCTCAAGTGACCGATAATGTAAAACTGAAGACTTGAGTAACTTTCTTCTGTGGAACAAAAAATATATTTTGAAAAATGTCCAATGTGCTGGACCCCATTGACTTTAACTGTATGGACAAAAACATTTGAAATTTTTTAAAACTACTTTTGTATTGCACGGAAGAGAGTCATACAAGTTTCGAACAATGCAAAAGTGATATATGATATGACATGTGACAAAGTATTGTGACCCATACTTGGAATTAGTGCTCTGCATTTAACCCATCCAAAGTGCACACACACAGCAGTAAACACACACACACTGTGAACACACACCCGGAGCAGTGGGCAGCCATTTATGCTGCAAGCAGTTGGGGGTTCGGTGCCTTGCTCAAGGGCCCCTCAGTCGTGGTATTGAAGGTGGGCTTTGTACATTTACTCCCCCCACCTACAATCCCTGCTGGTACGAGACTCGAACCCGCAACCTTTGGGTTACGAGTCCGACTCTAACCATTAGGCCACGACTTCCTAATGGTTGTATTAGGAAAGGGAACTCATTAACTCATTAAATTTTTTTAAATTGTAAAATTATCTCTATCTTCTCTGTATATTCTCCTCTTGTTTCTTTAACTCATGACTTTGAGTACCTGATCAAAATACGTTCAGATCATGAAGAAGATTAGCGTGTATTTTATTTTAAGGTTCTCTGTTCATTGATGTCATTCTCATGCATATTTAAGTGGATTGCATCATTCAGACCCCCTTCGGCCTAATAAATGATTCATAGGCAGGAACAAACAGTCATTCTTTTGAATGGCACGTGTCATATTAATATTTCATGAATGATGAGCACTTCATGCCACTACAATGCATACTTGAGATGTTGTTGGGTCTCGCAAAGACTATATTCATTCTTTGTCTCATTTTTGAGTCTTTTCTGATTCAAATTACATCTTATTAAGGCATTTCTTATGCAAGATTTACTATGTCATTTCTTAATGTTGCGAGTTATGCACATCTTCCCAGACAATGTTTACACTGATAGAAACAGTTTTAGGTGTTTGGGCTGGGATAGTGCCCATACTTACAATGGCTGTCCGCTTTTTAGCATCTTTTCTAATTGGATCCATCTGATTGAGTGGATGCCATCCATGGAAAAGAAGGGCTTTATTGTCTTGTTATTCCTTTTGTGGAATTGTCCCTCATTTCTAGGTCACCGCCTGTGATAGACGCTTGAATGCGTTAATGAGTTTCCTGTGAACTCTTCCCTGTTTGTGAGCGGCTCTCGTCTTTGTCACACCACTGTATGTACTATTTGCAGTCCCCCTACTCAGCTCCCCTATGAAGGGGAATTATGTGATTGTTGGCACTGCCAAATTGCTGTTTGTTGTTGGAGAACATGAAAAACCTTTGAGTTTGTTTAAAGGTCGCTTTTGAAAAGCCTAATTGAGCTGCTTTGATGTTCACGCAATGGAACAGCCCACAGTCCCTCCTGTTTCCCCATCATCAGCATTATCCTCAACCTCTGATTGCATCCTAAGGGAAATCGCAACAATTTGTATCAAAGTGAAAAACTGTTATAGCCATTACATTAATAGACCCAACCTTTTTAATGTCAAATAAATATGATTTTCCAGAATGAGCAAATCAAAATTAACATATCTCACAGAATTATATATTTGATTCCCTGTTCAAAATTGGATGATTATCCAAGACAAAAATGGGTCCCCAAACCTATGGGATTGTGAAATTGTGCACCACATCACAACGGATGGGAAATGACCATTGTTCATTACATAATAATGAGTGTCTTATTAACTTTTAAACTCCCTTTATCTCAACTTGGCAAAGTGATTTGCGCAGTAACAAATGCTTTAATTTAAGTACTATTAATATGTATAAAGATCCATGGGCTATTATTTTATAAGTGCTATTTGCATATAGAATCACGAATATAATGAGTGGTACCAAAAGTATGAGATCACTAGTGAAAAATGCTTCTGTTTTTCTTTATTTCTAATTTGATGTGGAAAAATCATTACATTATCAGCAAAACAAGTGCAAATGAAGTGAAACCAATTTCAGTTCTTTGAGTCTAAAGGCTCGTTCACTCCAAGAATGATACCTATAATGATTAGCAGTGTTGGGGAGTAACTGCTTTATGTAATATAATTACAAAATAAATGTAACCGTAAAAAAATGTGTAGTTAAATTACAGTTAACGATTATAAAGGGGGTTACATCTGAATATTTCTTGTATTAATATTTACTATTTCTAAATCTGTATTTAACCTCAGAACAATCATAAAAGTAAAAAGAGATGCTAAAGACTGATTTTATGATGACTGCTTTATTAATTTAATTATAATCTTAATTCAAGTGATGAAGGATTTTGAAAGTCTGACAGTAATCAGTGTTGAGTACTACTGTAAGTTTACTGTTTGTTACTACTGTATGTTTGAAAATGGTTAACAGTTGAAAACATTCATTAGAAATTTAGAAAAGTAATCAAAAGCAGGTCCGGCGTCAAGGAGTGGCGTATTGCATGATGTTCTGAAGCCTACCCTGCAATTCTGAAGGACCTAGGCCTACCCCACCACCCCCGGAATACAATTTTAAATGCGGAAAGCAATCTAAACCGAACGCGATTTCAACTGAGGAGCACCCCTCGGATCTGATTTTAACCATTCGATGCGAAAATGTATTTAGAACATTCACTGTTAAATTCAAACGTTTTGTCTGGCATTATCAGTGTTTTCAACCACATGAAATTGATTTTAGGTTTCAGACATTTGTTAAATACACACTGATGTTTGAGAGTTTGTTAAATACACTGGTGTCTAAGGAAAGCGCCAAATATTAATCCTTTCAATTAAAATCGGATTACGTGTTTTATTAATATAGGAACACGTTGTGTAGGTAACTATAAAGTTCACTCTATTCTTGTCCTAGATTAACGGTGACAATTTTATGTAATTTGGGAGAAAAGGGTGAATTTACGTGATGTTAAACCAAAGATCCAAAACAAACCCAAAATAAATTCTGATTGGTTGTCAATATTTTTGTATTATTGTTCATCAGCTGGGGGGAAAAAAATCAGTCTGATAGTTATCATCCTTGTTGTGAATGGTCCTTAAGTCTTTATAGATCAACTGAGGTTTTCAAAGTGAAAATGGATAATTTATACATTTGGAAAGTATCCAAATTAACTCAGCATCAGGTCCACAAAACTGAAGACTTTCAGACCTGATTTTAAGAAAACGTACTATAGTCTTATCTGAAAAAATCCAGAGCTCATATGTCAGATTACTTTCTTTTTTTTTTTAATTGCTACCGAAAGCATAGTGGTCTGCAGGACTGAACATGCACCCGGAGTAGATGTTAATCAGCCTTCTGAGTCACCAGAGTTGAACACCAGACAACAATACTGTTCTTTAGGTGTTTAGCTATGTAGCGCAAATGCTAAAGCTGTGCTTGTGCATAAACAAGCATTTAATGAACCAAAAAAAAATACTATCAGTGCTCCCAAAGGGAATGTAGATACAGTTTAAGATTCACATGTTTCACAGTACAGATATATGGACCCAACTGTATTTGTAATAGAACCTGAGAGTGGAGGAGGGTTAAATGTGCATCAGCATCCACTAACATAATAATGCTTTACTGGGTGTATATGAACAATCTCAGCATTGTTTTTCTCCCTCATTCTCTCTCTGAAATACAGAAAACATCCTTTTTCAACCATCTCTGTTCTTTAGTGCTTGCATGTAAATTTGGTTGTGGCATCTCAGCTCTGTTTTCTTTAACATTTGCAAATACAGAACGTCTTTCATGATTGTGTTTTTCTTTTTGATTCAGTTTCCATTTCCTCTTTCCTTTTCCATACAGTAGGCTATGCGTGTCTGTAAACCCTCAAGAGCTTCTCGAGGAACTAAAACTCTTGTCTCAAAACACATTCTCACATGGACCTTTTAGCAAAAATAAAAATTTGCAGAGTTTTCATTTGGACAAAGGAAACTGTTTACGTCACTGTGGCATTTGGGCCAAAAGGAAACAATCACTGCCCTGTGTGGACTTTTTATGGCATGTTGGAGAAAGCCAAATGAGCATTACTGGCCTGTGACTCAGTGGACAAACAAAAGGACCGCAAGAGACACTGAAGTGTTGTAATTTATTTTAAAGGGTTAGTTCATCCCAAAATGAAAGTTCCACATGTCGTTCCAAACCTGTAAGACCTTCGTTCATCTTCGGAACTCAAATTAAAGGGGTCATATGATGTTGCTAAAAATAACATTATTTTGTGTATTTGGTGTAATGAAATGCAATGAAACACACATCGTCACACACGGCGGGCTAGAGTGAGGAACGGCCGGCGGGCTTGAGAACGGGGCGGCTGGCGGATTCGACGAATCGTAGAAAGGACATCGTTAAAACAGTCCGAGTGACATCAGTGGCTCAACTT